CTTTTCATAGATGGTTAACTGTATACAAAATATATTGAAAGTCCGATCGGCCTTTTTCCCTTGGCAGCACTCATATTAATTATAATTTATTATTTTAGTTTGAAAGTTATGGTAATGCTAAAAAAAGTTTTTATTAGCATTGATCTAAAATGCAAGTGATTAGAATTGTAATATTAATGAAAAGTTTTGATTATTTGTTGTAAATATAAAATTCTATTTTGTATTATAAATCCCGTTTACGATACAGATAAAATTGACCAAATATCTTTAAAAGTAATAACAATAATAATTAGAACATGATAGACAATAAAGTACAAAACACAAAATGTATAAACTTACAATAAAATCGAAAAACAAAGTTCCTCCACTGCCTAGCATCCAAGGTAAATTTATAAGTAAATGCTCATATTCCATTGAGTATGATAATATTGACTATAGTATACAATATAAGTTTGTTTATAATCTTTTATATAAATAAAAAAACAAGATAATAAAAAGTAATCACTAACACATACCAAACAAAAAGTGATATTGCCTAAAACACTAAAACAGAACATGCCCAATGATAATCCTTCAGTAGATTTTGACTTGTAATTTTGAATAATTTGCGGAATTCTTGAACCAACTAAATTAACGTAAAACATGAGATATAGGATCAATAATTCACCATACATTTTTTTTTAAAAAAAAAACACTTACGATAGAATATCGCACTGAACCATCCAAGGATTTGAGGTAGCAATTTCATATGCTGTTGCACATTGATGTCACCTTGAATCAATATAGGAGGCTCTCCTTTCACATATGATGGATTAATAATGACTTGTTGAGATGAAGAGGAGAAACAATAAGCGATAACGCCAGTTAAGCAAACACCGATGAGTCCACTTAAAATTCCCAAAGATTGATTTAATCTCGACTTTTCCATGGATACTTGTGATTCCAATCGTTCAGATAGTAAGGGAGATAATTCTTCGGAAATAACATTTTTGCGACGATAATAGTAAACTTGCAATATTATGACAATATCGGATAGAACGTAATAGGCGGCAAGGTAAATCTGTTGGTAGAATAATTTCACGTGAGAACATCTGACTTGATAATAGCTAAAATAGTAAGTGTGGCATTTTTTCTTGCATAAATTAATTAAATCGTGACATAAAGTTCAGCGCAATGCAGATCAAAGAGCGCGGCATTCTTCTTTCCGATTGATCACACGGAAAAACTAAAAAAGAAAAGAACCTTACCGTCGTCGGTAACAAGTCCTGCAAAATAGAACCAGTCAGGTTGAGTAAATCACCTGCAAGCCATATATAGAGAAAAATTAATGATACAGAATAGCTTGACTTTCGTTTATAGTTTTCATAAAGCTGTCTGATTTTAAAAGAAAAAAAATCAGTGGACTATTTATTTTACTTATTTTATTTTATTTTTTAAAAAATTTATTATGATATTTACGGAATGGTAACTACGACCCAACAAGCTATAGATATATAGCCTGAAACTTCAGATAAGGCCTCGTTATGCATTTTCCTAATATTTAATCTTGGATTTCAAAAAAAAAATATGAACAGGAGAGAAAATGAAATGGACACAATTCATTTATTTATTAGTTTCTGAATGAATAACGCTAATATTACAAATGATCATTTATCGTTACCTTTTGCCTATCGAAGGGCAGATACTATATTCCTATCTAGTCCGATACAACAATTATTCAATGCGGTGCGAGAATCACAAGACTAAGGAAACTTATTACTGCACTTAATCAAACATATCGATATGACTATAATGTCTTTTCGATTTGTATTACGGAATTACGTACGCCATATCAATCATGCGAATACCCCTATTATGTAATATTTGTAACCCTCAGCCGAGATTCCCCGAAACTAACTAAAAATTAACATTTGCTTTTTTGAATCTATCAAAAAAGCATATGTGAAAATCGTGTATACGTATTAAAAGTTCAGGAATTTCCGCGATTAACTCTGCGACAAAATAAGAACCCGAAAAAATAGAAAAGTGTGGAGGATGTTAAGATCATAATTATCCGATCACTACACAAGATCATAAGGGATTTACGAATAATACCTTGGCCCGTGTGCATCTTCGTTTTCGTTCACACTCAACGACATGGACATTTATTTAGGATGCGGGCTGATTCTTTATCAATTATATCAGATTCTCAATAAAGATCTTTAAATAAACATTCAAATGTGGCTTTTAAACTAAGGTGCTCCGCTAACGATTCTAATTGGAAAATATATATAAAGTGCTGTATACCGATGCAGTGATACTATAGGCAATGAATTTCGAAAAACGGATGGTCCGGATATAGACAGAGATGTATCGGGATCGGTAGAATCTCTTCTTTTATTTTTGCTTTTTTTGAACGCAGAAAGAAATATATATATGGTTTTATAATCAAGTGATTCATTCAAAGTTTTTATAAATAAATCAATTTTTAATTGTTTGAAAGGGAATTCAGCAATATTTATTTACTGACGATCTGAGTTTGTCAATTACACGCAGTTAATCGATAATCATTTCACCAATAAATAGAAACAAACATTAACGCGAGATTATTTAGTGTCCTTTTAGGATTAGCTAAAGTGAGCATAGTATTATTTCTTCATGCTGGGTATGATGGGCTATAAAGAAACGAGTTATTGATGGCGAGCTGATTGTTGGTGAACTAAATTTGTTGGTGATTATCGATAAAATGATACAGTAGAAATAAACAAAGTATCTAATATCTGTTATCATAGAAATCTGTTGAATGTCTGAAGCGTAATTTATTGTTTTTATTTTTTTTTTTGATTTTTATTTGAATTTTTTTGAATATACAGAAATACAGTATGCAGTGTCACCTCGTTCAGAAATGAGTGCTGTCAATGGACATTGCATGTTGGAGTTTGGGGGTACATACGTACGTACGTACGTAAGTAGTAGTTTTTCGAACAATAAATACATGTTTCCATTCCGCATTTTTGGCTAATACGTATACGTTGTAAGTGGAAACGGAATTTGAAGTCGAGATCTACTTAAGTAGGTTTTTGGATCTTAAAGGAAATGGAATTCTAAGATACGTACGTACGTAACAGGCGAGATAAATTTCATTGTTACGTACTATAATATCTATTTTCTCATATTGCATTATCGTTATTATCTAATGTTTATTATCTAATTATCTAACGCTAATGTTTATTATCTAATATCGATACGTAACATTATTTTAGGGCATTGCTATTCATATCTCTCATTTTTGCCAATTGTACCATAAATAGCCGATTATTATCACGATGTATTAGTATTATACGTATATTTATATATTGTTTTGCACTACAACTATATCATGTGACAATTAGTTAAATGATTTTTTTACATGGAGTAGGTATGAATAGCAATATCCTTAATTTATTTGCTATTCTTACATTTGACAATATGTGGATGAAATCCCCAAATTGAACCATTTGCATTTGCAAGAACAAGCCTTGCGCATGCCCAGGGTTAAAACGACATATAGTATAATGCCGGCCATCCAAAATGTTTTTCTTGATGTATAATTATTGCGATCAAAGAACAATAGTAAAATAAGAAAATTCTACGTATCAGCTATTTAATGCTATTGTTTTTGTTTTACTTTTATTTTAGATAGATCAAAATCGACATTTTGGATAGCCGGCATTTATTATATGTCTGTGCCTCCCGTAGTAATTGTCAGCCGACTTTAGAGCAGGGACACGGGAAAATGCGATTTTATTTATAGGATTTTCAAAATCCTATAAATAAAATCGCATTTTCCCCGTGTCCCTGCTTTAGAGCAAGATTTATAAAAAATTGGCATTTTTAACCGGTATTTATTCAATAAATAAAGTCATAGAAAAATAATTTTTCTGTAACATTTTCTAATAAAAGTTTATCGGTTTTTGCATTGGTTTTTGAGTAATTTAAATGGAAGACCGATTAGCTAAATTTTCTCCACACTGTTCGGTCCCGTCTAAATTACTCAAAAACTAATGCAAAAAGAGAAATTTCTATTACAAAATGTTACAGAAAGATTATTTTTCTAACTTTATTTATTGGACGAATATCTGTTAAAAATGCCAATTTTTTATAAATCTTGCTCAAAGTCGGCAGACAATTACTGCGGACCGATTATCATCCATTGAACCTAGTGCCGCTAGGGTGATCATCAAACTAGCCGTAAGTAGCGTAATATGTACTAATCAAAATCTTACGTGTCACGTTTAGTTTACCCTGTATAAATAATTTAAATACCCTTCCGGATCAGTCTGAATAACGATAACTCTTCCGTGGTGCGATTATATATCGCCGACCAATCGGAATAATCGTGTCGTTTGTAGGTGCTGATAAGTCTTGATTAGGTTTTTCTGGTGTTCAAGCTTTTGCTGGTACAGTAAGTAATTAAGTTGTGAACCTAACTGGCTTATTTTAGCCCACTTTAGGTTCAAATGAACCCAGTTGGGTTCATTTTAGCCTATTTCAGGTTCAAACAAACCAAGCCAGGTTCAAATAAATTTAATTTTGGGTTTATTTTAATTTAAATAAGCCCAATTTGAGTTTATTTTAGCCTACTTCTGGTTAAATTAACCAAGCCAGGTTTATATTTGAGCCCACTTTGAATTCAAATAAATCATTTAAGCCTACTTTGGGTTTATATAAACCCAAACCAGTTTATTTGAGCCTAATTTGGGTTCAAATAAACTGAGTTTATTTGAGACTAAAAATTTAGATTTAAATAAATTAGCAGATTTAAATATTAAAACCTTTATAATTTATAATATATATATTGGTATATTAATTTGTAAAAATAAATTTCTAGAGTAACATAACAGGTTACATATTAGTTATTATTTAGAAATTTTTTATAAAAATCCAAATTTTACAAATAATAATAGTTATATAATATGTTATACAGATTATATATAATATGGTTAAATAATTAATACATCTAAATTTTAGGCCATGCAAAATTAATTAATTGGTTTTCATAACCCGGCCAGGTCAAAATTTGAAAACTTCTAAAAAAAAATTT